GGCGGGGCGGAGGCGGGCGCTGGAGTCTGGCTCAATCCCCAGCTGAGCGGGCGGGAGTCGGGGTCTGGCTCGGCCCCCGCGGGGGCCTAGCAGGGGCTCGGCGCGTCTCAAACTTCTGTGAATGTAAAGCTGTTTGCAGATTCTCCCTGGAGGCGCGTCTCCCCCACACCCCCGACCCCTGCAAGGACGCCCGCTGAAAGGTGGTGCAGCCCTGCACCGGGGTTTCATCATCCAGGTGGCAGCGGCTGGTGGGAAGTGGTGGGTAGGAGTTCGGGACTGGACTGCCTGCCACTCTTACCCTTTCTGAACGTGGGGTTCCTTGTTGGCAAAACGGAGATGTGCCCACAGCCTGTAAGGGTGGGTGGGTGGGAGGATGGGCGGACCGGCACCTGGCATAGCACGTGGTCCGGCTTCTGGCCCCTCCGTCGGAGCTCTCCCCCGCCTCCCTGACCCCTTTTTATCTCCTTCCAAGCATCGGACGTGGTCTTGCTCAGATACTTTTTGCTGTTGCGGCCTCCTCCAGGAAGCTCCGGAATGGCTGGGCAGCGCGCTTCCTGGTATGACCGCCCCTCTAAGGGCTTCCAGCACGTAGTAGCCGCTCTGAATGCTGGCTGCAGGATGAATGCTTAACACAGGCTGGATTATTTTTACATTGATTTCAGAGAGGGAGAGAGGGTTAGAAACATCAGTGATGAGGATCATTGATCCATTGATTGGCTGCCTCCTGCACGCTCCGCACTGGGGTTCTGAGCGAGCCCACAACCCGGGCATGTGCTCTGAAGGGAATCAAACTGTGACCTCCTGGTTCAGAGGCCAACGCTCAACCACAAAGCCACACCGGCTGGCCCGGCCGGGTGAGGCTCCTAAATAGGAAAGATGACACCTGATCGGAAGGATCCTGAGTTTCCTCCCGGGGAATGGAATGAGCCTCAAACACACAGCCAGCTCCCCAGGCTCCTGCAGCTCAGAGAGTCCCATGTTAGCAGGACTGTGCTCCGCGCTCCGGAACACACTGCCACTGGGCTGTTTAGGGGCTGCGGTGAGTCAGGAAGACGGCCCCTCCCTGCACAGCGGGCAGAGTTTCTTAGGGCCAACAGGTATCAATTAGATAATCGCACCCGTGACCGGTCATTCCTGTGATAACTGCTGGGAGGAGGGGAACGGAGTTTCACGGCAGCTCAGAGCCCAGAGTCTGAGCAAAGGTTTCCCTTAGGAAGTGTCAGCGGTGAGGCTGCCCTGAGGCCTGGCAGTGGATGTGGGCAGCAGCACATCAGGGCCTGTGCCCTCCCCAGTCAGGGGAGAGCTTGTCTCCATCCAGGGTGGTGCAGTCGGCATTCAGCCTCCGCCGGCCAGTGCCACCTCCCCTGCACGGGGCCACCCTGCCTGAGGTCGCCATCATGCCCGAGCTGGAGAAGTCTGCTCAGTGCTGAGTGAGACTTGGGACTTGGCCTAGTCAGTTGCTCAGTGGCTAGAGCGTCAGCCTGTGGACTCAAGAGTCTCAGGTTCGATTCCCATCAAGGGCACATAGCTCTACTGCTACCAGTTGATGTGTTTCTCTCTCTGTCTCTTCCCCTCCCCTCCCCTCTCTCTAAAAATCAATGGAAAAATATCCTCGGGCAAGGATTAAAAAATAAGTAAATAAAATAAAGCCCCCCGCTTTATTTATTTTTTAATATATTTTATTGATTTTTTACAGAGAGGAAGGGAGAGAGACAGAGAGTTAGAAACATCGATCAGCTGCCTCCTGCACTTCTCCTACTGGGGATGTGCCCACAACCCAGGTACATGCCCTTGACCGGAATCGAACCTGGGACCTTTCAGTCCGCAGGCCGACGCTCTACCCACTGAGCCAAACCGGTTTCAGCAAAGCCCCAACTTTAAAACGAAAAGACTCAGGACCTGTTAGTGCAGTCTTTGCCCCAAGGCTTCCCAGAAGGCTGGCCGGGCTCAGGCAGGCCCGCCTCAGGTTCTGCCCCCGCCCCATCCTGCTTCCTCCCACCTCCTCCCACAGGACTGGTTCCCTAGGGTCCAGCTTGCAGACCCAGCCTCCATCTCGCTCAGTGGTGAGGCAGACAGCACCCCAGGCCAGGGAGCACTGAAGGCCTGGGGTCTGAGGAGCTCAGGGAAGGCGGTAGGGTGCCTGCGGGGCAGACAGAGAGGGAGGGGCAGGTCAGAGGTGAGCAGTGTTGGGACAGGCAGGTTGGGGTCCTGAAGGTAAGAAGTTTGGTCTTGCCCTGGCCGGGTTGCTCAGTGGTTGGAGCGTTGTCTTCCATACACCAAACGGTGACGGGTTCGATTCCTGGTGTGGGCTCACACCCAGTTTGTGGGTTCAATCCCCGTCAGGGTGCATACGGGAGGCAACCAATGGATGCTTCTCTCTCACATCCATGTTTCTCTCTCCCCCCACTTCCTCTCTGTTTAAAACCAGCGGTTCTCAACCTGTGGGTCGCAACCCCTTTGGCAGTCGAACGACCCTTTCACAGGGGTCGCCTAAGACCGTAAATATCAGATATTTACATGACGATTCGTAACAGTAGCAACATGACAGTGATGAAGTAGCAACAAAAATAATTTTATGGTTGGGTCACAGCATGAATAACTGTATTTAAAGGGCCAGAAGGTTGAGAATCACTGGTCAAAACCAATAAAAACATCACCTTGGGTGTCTGGCCAGACTGTTAGGGAAGGAAAGAGCCGGGAGAGCTCAGGAAGCGAAGGGTCACATTTGTTCCCAGGGCCGGGCCCAGGCCCCGCACCTGAGCCTCCGGGGGGGGGGGGGGGGGGGGGGAGAAGCTGGGTCCCAAGAAGCGAACGACCCCCTTTGTGAATTCCATCCCGAGAGGCAGAAACTCGCCAGGCGCCCACTCGGCGTTTCCTGGAACCTGTCCTTTGCGGGCTCCCCGGCTCCCTAAACAGGAGCGCTCACCCCCAGCTAAGGTAATGCAGTCGCACGACTTGCCATTGAGCCCTCACTGTTTTAAAGTTCATTGTTAGCTATGTGAATAATTTACAAATGTGCTCCTTTCTGAGATGAGCATAGAAGAGGCTGAAGTCCTCCCTGGCCGGGCTGACTTCGCCCCGGCTCCCACCGCCGCCCGGCTCGTGACCCCTTCCCTGCTGAGGGAGCACGTCCAGCCTCTTGCACATTAACCAGCGTGGGCCCTGGCTGGTGTGGTTCAGTGGGTTGGGCGTCGTCCCGAGAGGCCGCTGGGTCAGTCCCTGGCCCTGACAACCCACATGCCCGGGTTTCGGGCTCGAGTCCTGGAATACGGCTGTTACTTCCAGGAAGCTGACCTTCTGCGTCTGCTGTAAATTGCTCTGCAGTTTGTCAGCCCTGGGCCTCGTTTCCCCATTCCGCTTGTCAAGGCCTCTTCCTAGCTTTTTACGATCCGGCCTCCTGCGGGCCTTGCTTCCTCATCTGAAAAGTGGGGGATGGTAGCACCCCCATAAGGTTGTTGTGACAGCAGATTGATTCGATGTGCACAAAACACGGTGCCTGGTGTGGGCAAGGCCGAGGTGCGTCTCTGCCGTTCCTGAAAGGCGAGGTCCTGAGCAGAGGCTGGGGCGCGGGGCCCACAGTCAGCGTATTGGACAAAGGGCTGCTTTTAAAAAATACTAATAATTGTGTTCATTTCAGAGAGGAAGGGAGAGGGAGAGGGAGAGATAGAAACATCCATGATGAGAGAGAATGGCTGCCTCCTGCACGCCCCCCACTGGGCATCGAGCCCCAACCCCGGGCCTGTGACGGGGAATGAACCGTGACCTCTTGGGTCATCGGTGATGCTCACCCGCTGAGCCCCGCCGGCCGGGCCAAATGAAGGGCTCCTTTGCCTGCGGCTGAGAATCAGCTCACCCCTGGTCACGTGGAGTGAGAGGCGCTCCCAGGCCTGGGTATCTCGGTGCCGGGGTGTGGCTCCCATTGAGGATCTCTGGGGTGAGGCCCTCCCTGCTGAGTGGCACGGAGGACCGCCACCCTTAGTGAGATCTGATTCACAGACTCTGTCCTAGAACTTTAGCCTCTGATTCAGGACTTCACCGCCAGCCTGTGACGCACCCCGATTTCTCGATGAGTCATTTACAGCGGCTCCGCACAGCCAGGGGCTGGGGAGGGGCGGTGGGAGGGACCCGGATTGAACTTTCTTTCTAATGCGTAGCGCTGTCTTCATAAATCTCAGGTCGCAAACAGGGTGACTCGCCGGAGCCTGGAGCTGAGTGTTGAATTCCCGCGGCCCTGTCTCGGCCTGGCATCCACGGGCCCTCGCCCGCTCTCTGAGTAACAGTGGCAGCGCCTGCAGCCAATGGCCTGTGGGGCCCGGCGCATGTTATGCTGCACAGACAGGGTTACATAAACCTGCCCGTTTTAATGTAATTTCCTTCGCCCTTCAGTTCTTTTGTGTGGCTTTGGGAGTCTGCGTGGGCTCCCTGGGAGGCCTACCCCTGGCTGGCTTCATTCTCTGTTTTAACAAAAACCTGTCGCGCCCCGGCCTGTAGCTCAGTTGGGCAGTCAGTTGGCAGGGTATGTCCCAATACACAAGCTTGTGGGTTCCACCCGCGGTCAGGGCACAGACAAGAGTCAACCAATGAATGCATCAGTAAGTGGAACAAGGCATCGATGCTTCTCTCTCTCCCTCAAATAAAAGAAAAGAAAAACCCATTGATTGCAATGACGTTCCCCCAGGCATTCGCACGTTTACTATAGGCCCTACTGTGTGGCAGCCGCCCTGCCAGGTGCTGATGGAATCTGACAGCTGGTCCCCAGCCTTTTAAACTAGTGCTTTGTCCAAAACATACATTCTCCCTTTGACACCACCCCCTTTCCTTCCTTCCTTCCTTCCTTCCTTCCTTCCTTTCTTTCTTTTCTTCTTTTTTAAATATATTTTTATTAATTTCAGAGAGGAAGGGAGAGGGAGAGAGAGATAGAAGCATCCATGATGAGAGGAACATCAATCACTGATCGGCTGCCTCCTGCACGCCCCACTCTGGGGATGGCGCCCACAGCCCAGTCATGTGCCCTGACCAGCAATTGAACCCTGACCTCCTGCTTCACAGGTCCATGCCCAACCACTGAGCAACACCAGCCAGGCTCTTTCTTTTAAAGAAAGGCAGTGGCTTAACCCAAAGCCCCCGTTCCTGCATGGTGACCCCTGTTCTGGGGGTTAACGTCAAGGGACTCGGCCATCAGGCCCCCGCCCCTGCCCCAACACATAGGCTGCACTGCATTCCCTTGCTTTCCACCCTGTTTGTGAGGCCTCTTCCCCCTCCTCCTCCTCCTCCTCCTCCTCCTCCTCCTCCTCCTCCTCCTCCTTCTCCTTCACCTGGCTTCTGTCTTCTCAATGTTTTGAACTTTGGCCAACATCACGTCCTCAGAGATGCTCTTCTGGATCCTGTGACTCAGCTGTTTCTCCCGGGCTTCCCAGCGCTGTGCTCGGAAAAAGCGTTGCCGTTGGCCAGCGGTGGTTGCCGCCCAGCCTGTCCCCCCAGGGCGGGAGCCAGGCAGGGGCCATATCTGCTTGGACTTACCGTCCCAAGTCTAAGGGATGAGTGGCAAACGGATGAGTGGACACATGCTTACTGAGCACCTCCTATGTACCGACCAGTCACCGTCCGAGGCTCTAGGGACACCCAGATCTTGTCTCTTGGAAGATTATCTGCCAGAGCAGCTGATTTTCAACCCTTTTCATCTCGTGGCACAGGAGTGAGTTTCTAAAATTCTGCGGCACTCCAAAAATATATTACGTTTTTGCCGATCTGGCAACAACAATAGGCACAACTTTGATTCATTCACACCGGACGGCTATGACTGTGTTGGCTGTTGTCATTTTTAATTTCATTTTATTTATTTATTTTTTTGTTATTTTTTAATTTGACAATCCAAGGGGGAAAGAGGTCAGTGCCCCTGGCTAAATGGTCAGGTATCACATGTTTTAAAACTTCTTGTGGGACACCGGGAGAAAGATACGCACTAGTTTAATAATCACACATGTTACTATGCAATCTTTTTTTTTATTTTTTCAATACATATATCTTTATTGATTTCAGAGAGGAAGGGAGAAGAGAGAAACATCAATGATGAGAGAGAATCATGGATCGGCTGCCTCCTGCTCGCCCCACACTGGGGATGCGGCCCGAAACCCGGACATGTGCCCTGACCGGGAATAGACCTGTGACCTCCTGGTTCCTGGGTCAAAGCTTAACCACTAAGCCACACCTCCAGGCTTGCTGTGCAATCTTGAACTGACGCAGGCTTTGAAGAAGAGGATGTTAGGAGGCGGTGGTGGAGCCCAGCGGCTGGGTGAGCGGCACTGTGACCTGGTAGCGTGGGGACACGCAGCCCCAGGGGTAAGCCCGGGACTGACATCGCACCTCCGCAGACCCAGCCTGGCCACGCCAGCCGGTGACTAACAGGGTGTAATAAGGGAAGCTCGCCTCCTAGGCATGTCTTGGGCAAGAGCAAGATGAAATGGATCCCCAGGCCGCTTGGCAGGGGCCAAAGAAGTCTATGGGGTAAACGGTGGGGGAATCGTCAGGGGGCGGGTACGTGAGTGCCACCAGGTCTAGGCAATTCCTTCACGTGCCTGACCTGGTCAGGACAGCGACCCGTTCCAGGAAGTAGCACCCCGCTCGTCCAGGAGGCCCCGGAAGGTGCTGATTCATGTCTGAGTGAATGTCAGGCACGATCAGGACGCCTGAGAGCAGGGCTTCCAGAAAGCAACCTCTGCCCCATGGGGCCAGCTCCTGGGCCAGGGGGCGGCTGAGTCATGGAACAGCCTCTCCCTCCAAGGCCGGGCGCCTGGGTGTCATGCTGGGTGTGCTTCAGGCAGGACACAGGTGAGTGTGTGTGTGTGTGTGTGTGTGGAGGGGGGGGGCGGGGGAAGGGGGCATCTGCTGACTTGGCTCGTCCTGGGTCCCTTCTTCAGGTGACAGTACCTGGTGGTTTTTCTTGGGGAGCCAAGCCTCCCTCGTACTCATCCTGACCTTGCCTGCATCTAGCCAAACTGGGTAGCCATCTCCTAGGACTCCTCAGTCTAGGCATGAATTTGGACTCAAGTCAAGTCTGGGAGCCTCAAAGAAAGACTCCCAAGACTATGAAGAAAGACGTGGATCTCGTTCAGCACTTAGGACTTTGTGCTCAAGAGAGAAGGGAAGAGATGGATGGACACAGATCGATGCCTCATGATTTCCCTCCAGCACCTGGATCCAGCCATGCCTGAAGCCCATAGGGGTATAATTGTGCCTAAATGTACATACTACCTATGGCCCTTAAAGCTATTGACTGAACAATTCTCCCATCTTTCTATTTGGCTTAAGCTCATTGTCACAGGGCTTTGGTTACTTACAACTAAAAGTGCCTTTATTAAGACAATGGTTTTAACTCATGTCACTCACTTGCTAAATCCAAAGGCAGGGAGGACACCAGTTAAAGCCAGTGTGGGCCTTCTCTTTCCAGAGAGTACGCCTGTGCCCTTCTCTTCCCCTCCCATCCCCCCACAGGCACGTATCCCCATCCTCTAAGGGACCCCATGAGACTTACAACGAGGGGAGCAATGGGCAACAGCAGCTTGTCCCAGGCTCACCCCCCGAATCCGTCTCCAAGGCCCCCTATTCTCTGACTTCCCAGTGATCCAGAGCAGCCTGGCCTGGGCTCTCCAGTTGCTTCTCCTATGGGCTTATGTCACTACCTAAGTTTATTTTTGCTGTGGTCAATACATTCTTGCTTGTTTTTCCACAAAAAAAAAAAAAAAAAAAAAAAAAATAGCCATTGTGGAAGTTGGTCATTTAGCAAGGGCGAGGGGCAGCCCCAACACACTGACATTCCTCCTAAGCCTCAGACTCTGCAGCCTCGTCCCCAGGGACCCAGACCCTTGGGTGTGCACGGCTGCCTAGCAACAGACACCCCGGGGATGGGCCAGGACAGGGAGGTACACACAGAGCATTCGTGGCCCTGGCAGGGCAGGGAGGACCCGGGCCCCAGGTTCCGTGTGGAGGAATTGGGGGGGGGGGGCGCTGCCCTGATTTGGGAGTGGGCACCTGGCAGGAGAGCTGGCTTTGCTGGACTGTGAAACCTGAACCGCAGGGCCAGGCAGGCTGGCACAGGCAATGGCCGGTGAGCCAGGGCACCGACGTGTCACAGCTGCCATCTAGTGCCAGCTGTCTCCTTTTGCAAGTTGTTTACGGCTGCTTCCAGCTGGAGGCCTTCTGTGTGCCTGTCAGAGGGAGGAGGCCATTGCCTCTGCCTTCACAGCAGGAAAAACCTCCATGTCGGACTTTCGATATCATCCCTACTTCATTATTATTTTTTTAAGATATATTTTATTGATTTCAGAGCGAAAGGGAGAGGGAGAGAGAGAGAAAAACATCAATGATGAGAATATGGATCAGCTGCCTCCCGCACGCCTACTGGGCACCAAGCCCGCGATCTGGGCATGTGCCCTGGCCGGGAATGAACCGAGATTGGCTGAGCTCCCTGCTGCTCTTCCCCTCTCCTCCCACCCAAAATGTACACGTTTAGCCCTGACCGGTGTGGCTCAGCGGCCAGAGCCTCGCCTCTGCGGACTGAAGGGTCCCGGGTTCGATTCCGGTCAAGGGCATGTACCTGGGTTGCGGGCACATCCCCGGTGGGAGGTGTGCAGGAGGCAGCTGATCGATGTTTCTCTCTCATCGATGTTTCTAACTCTCTATCCCTCTCCCTTCCTCTCTGTAAAAAAATCAATAAAATATATTTTTAAAAATGTACACGTTTAAAGGGCTCGCAGTGGAGACTTGATGTTCTGAATATTAACATGATGGAGGGGAGGCGGGGCTGCTACACGGCAGTGCTCGGTCCCTGAGGAAGCCCACGTCCTAATGACAGGGAGATGGAACAGCGGCGTTGAACAGCCACCCCGGCTCCCCGAGTACATAATACCCGCCATTAGGGACGCCTGCCCGGCCTAATTGCTCACTGTGAGCCTGGCACCCGCCGCCGAGGGAAAGATCCTGCAGGAAGGCAGAAGCAGCATCCGAGGCGGGCGGAGAGCGGGCTCCTCCACACCCGTCCTCGTCTTTCTTTCCTTTTGTCTTCTGACCTCGCTGATCCTGCTCAATTCTCTCAGCGTCTGTGGGACCCCCACAGCCCCTGTCCCTGTCACTGTCCTTGGGGAGCCCTCCCCAGCATGCCCTGACAGAATGAGCCACTGCTTCCTGTGGGTACCTGTGGCGGCCAGCGGTCGGGATGACCCCCGGGGTCCCTGCTTCCCCGGGGTACGGGCCCTGATAGAGTCCCTTCCACGCGGAATGAAGCTGACCTGGGTGACCAATAGGATACTGCAGAGATGGGTGTACAGAGATGAAGTCAGGCCATCAGAGACACTGCGGATTCTTTCTTGTTTCCTCTCGGATCACTCCTCTGTGGAAGGCCGGCTGCCATGTCATCAGGCCACCCGAGCCGTCCTATGGAGAGGCCCCGTGGGGAGGAGCTGACGGAGGCCTCCCGCCATCAGCCAGGGGGGTGGTTTTGAAAGATGCCCACAGATTCTTCCAGACACCTCCCTGCAGGAGGTGCGCCTCCATGCCCTCCTCCTCGAGTGTGGAGTGGACTTGTTGATTCACTCCCATCGTAAAGAACATCGTTATCACCAAAACGATCCCCCGTGGCAGGTCCACCAAGCTCAGTGGCCAACCACACAGGCTGGTGTGACCCCAGACTCCTAACTGGGCAGGTGATGTGGGTAGCCCTGACCCCGGCCTACAGCTCAGGCCTATAGCTCCCTTACAAGGGTCAGTCTTTACCTTAAGAAAACCCTGCCCAGTGTCTGTGTGTGTGTTTTAATTTGTTGATTTTAGAGAGAGAGAGAGGGAAGGAGAGAGAAATGTGATTTGTTGTTCCACTTACTTATGCATTCATTGGTGGATTGTCCTAGGTGCCCTGACCAGGGATTGCACCCCCAACCCTGGCCTATCTGGACAAAGCTCTAATCTGCTGAGCTACTTGGCCAGGGCTCCCTGTCCATTGTTCTCGTGCATCTAAGAGAACACACGTTTGAAATGTCCAAGTACTTTTCTTTTCCAGACTCCTCGAAGGTACAGCCACGGGCACCAGGGCACAGGACCACCAGAATACGAGACCATAGAACCCCTCACTGTTACCTTGTTCCCCTCATCATGCCACCTCTATGTACTGTAATGTTAACTATTCATTATCCTTACCACCCATGTGAAAGAAATACGCGTTTCTCTACATGTGATCCAATCCTGAAGATTTCCCCACTTGGTTTTCTCCCGCCTCCTTAACCTACCACCAATGGGCGCCATGTGTCTTCTTTACGTTTTCCCTTCTGATTCACAACGCAGAAATGCCATTCTCTGGAGCATTTTCTCAGTCTCCTGAGATCTTACTTCTGGGTGTGTCCTCAAAAACTTGGCTCCAATAAACTCTTTTTTTTTTTTTTTTTTTTTACAGAGAAAGAGAGAGAGAGGGAAAGACAGAGAAACATCCATGTGAGAGCAACACATCGATTGGTTGCCTCCTGCACACAGCTCCGACCAGGGCCCAGGCCAGGGCAGTGCCTGTCCTTGATTGGAATTGAACCCAGGAGCCTTTGGTCCACAGGCCAATGCTCTATCCACTGAGCCAAACCGGCCAGGGCTCCAATAAATTCTTATTAAATTTTTCTCCATAGCTTAGAACTTAGAAATAGTTTAGACATAAGTTTTCCTCTGCGAGTAATGCTTTTATCATTCCAACCGAGGTCAGATAAATGACCAATGAAGGAACAATCTCACTTGTAACATTGAAAGCTTTACATATTTATACACATTGTATTTATTCAAAGTGTGCTTACAGGCACTTAGTGTGCAGAATAGAAATATCACTCACACCCATGTTTTAGTTACAATAGGACAACCAGTTACCAGTGTAACAGCCATTGCCTGTCATGAACGCTAATGGGCAAATTTTCTCTGAGCAAAGTGTACCGTTTCCTAAAGTATGTTCTCTCTTATGTTTGTTCCTGTTGTTTGTTGAAATGTGACTTTATGTCGACTTCCATATTTTAAAAAATGAACTTGCATTTGTATATATGTTTTGTCACGTCATTTATGAGGAATTGCTCTTTACCCTCATTTAGTGAGATCTATGCCTAATGGATTTGAAGCAGGTCCTGCATCGCGGAGAGGAAGCAGCACTGGTCTAAATGGCTAGACTGCGCTCCTTGGGGGGCATTTTACTCAAACTGGCCCGACGGTGGGCCTTAGGCAATTATTTATTAAATGAAGGAATGGATTTTCAACCCCCGACTCTGGGTCCAGGGCGTTAATCAGGTGTCTCCTCCAACTCCCCCATGATTAGACTTGCTAAGTTGCTGAAGTCAGCTAAACGCCAGGACCCGTGCTGGACCGTTTACCTCCCACCCATCCTCTCCGTTTTCCCTCCCGGGGAAGGCGTGCCCAGCACAATCTGCATCCTGTGCACTCACTGGTGGAGCCCGACGCCCGTCACTGCCAGGTTCCGCCCTAGCCACGCCCCCACGTCGTTGCAGACCCGAGAGAAGACGTGGTCATTGTCTCGCTGGAGGGTCCGCCCTTCGCGTGGGTTGGTGGGAGCGCGGTCCACGAGCCAGCGCACGCTGCACCGCCCCGCCCCCTCGCACGTCGGGCCCCGCCCCCAGCAGCAGGCTCCGCCCAGCCTCGCGCATGCGCGCGCGCATCCGGCAGTGCCTCAGTCTGGGCAGCCGGACCCGGCGGGCGGCGGTCTGGCCGCCGAGGTGCGAAGGGAAGAGCCCCAGTCGCCGCCGCCGCCGCCGCCGGAGAGGACCATGTCTGCGAGTCGAGCCAAGAAAGTGAAGATGGCCACCAAATCGTGCCCCGAGTGCGACCTCCAGGTGGGCGGCGGCCGGCGGGCGAGGGTCCGTCCTGCGGCCGGCGGCGCGGAAGGGGCGTGGGCTGGTCCCCGGTCGCCCGGCGGTTCCGGTGACAGCGGCGGGTCTGTGCCCATCAGCCCCTGTGTCCCGACGGGAACGCGCGTGTGGCCGCCTGGAGGGTGGCTTTGTTCCCATCGGACCCGGGACCCGACTGTCCCCGCCGCGCCCTTGGGTCCCGGGATGCTCAGCGCTGCAGGGCCTCCTCCCACGGCGCCGGTGGAGACATAACGGGGCTCGCGGTGGCGAGAGCGCCGGTGGCCGGGGAGGTCCTGTGTCCAGCTCACCGGCAGGCCGGCGTCCGGGTGTGTAGGGAACGGGTTTGCTGTGGTTGGGGACGCCGACGCCAGGCTGGTCACCAGCGGGGGTGCGGCCGGGGTCCTGCCACCACCACGCCTCCTGGGAACACGGGTGCCTCTCCACCCTGCAGGCCGGCGGGGCCGGAGCGCTAGGAGCGGGGTAACCAGCTCCTTCTTGGGTCTTTGGAGGAGTTCTGTTAATTTTTTTGTTTTCAATATGCTTTTTAAAAAGATTTTTATTGATTTCAGTTTGGAAGGGAGAGGGAGAGAGAAACATCAATGATGATCATGAGAGAATCATGGATTGGCTGCCTCCTGCGCGCCCCCTTCAGCCCGCAGGCCCACGCTCTATCCACTGAGCTAAACCGGCCAGGGCTTTATTGATTTTAGAGAGAGGAAGGGAGAAGGCGATAGAAACATCTATGAGAGAGAATCATCAATCGGCTGCCTCTTTTAAAAAATTTAAAAAAAAATATTTTTATTGTTTTCAGAGAGAAAGGGAGAGGAAGAGGGAGAAACATCCATGATGAGAATCATTGATTGGCTGCCTCCTGCACGCCCCCTGCTGGGGCTCAAGCCCAAAACCTGGGCGTGTGCCCTCACCAGATCGAAGGGTTGACCTCTGGGTGCCTGGGCGGGAGCTCAATGAGCTGCGCCACGCTGGCCTGGCGGGTTCTGTGCCCTCTCCGCTGCCCTCGCCAGCTGTCTGGTGTGTGTCCAAGAGGTTGCTTCCCCTCCCTGCAGAGGCGGGAGGTTTCCCCGGAGACTCACTGTGGGAACCCAGTTGAACTCCTGGAGGGAAAACTCGCAGAAGTGTGGGGACGTCCTGGGACTGGGTCTCGCTGGAGTTTGAACTCTCAGACTTGTCCACACGGAGCCTCCAGCAGTGTGTCCGCCCTTACAGTTGAGTTTTTCCTGCCTGACCCTGTGAATTTCCGCTTTGGTAAGTTGAGAGTCTCTGTCTTCACCCGTCTGTCCAATGGGAGGGGCCCTGGTTTGCGCGGGCACCCCACTTCTCTCACGGAGCCGAGAAGAGTTGCTGACGTTTCAGTTTGTTGTGCGTCAAAGTGGGGACTTTCACGCTCCCTCCAAGTGCTCGGCGCGTGGATTGCTGTGCCTTTGTAGTGAGTTGTGAACTCAGGAAATGTGAGTCTTCACCTTCGTTTTTTCTGTTTTAAGACTGTTTTGGCTTTTCAGATCCATGGGAATTTTTGAATTAGCTTTTCCATGTCCAGGGTGGGGCGGGGGAAAGGCCATTGGGCTGTTGATAAGTTTTGCGTTGGATCTGTGTAGACGGACCTGGGAACGATGAACACTATTGAGTCCTCCAATTCACGAACATTGCTGTCTTTCCATTAATTTAGGTCTCTGATTTTTCAGCAGTGATTTTTAGGTTTCAGGGTACAAGTCATGCATCTTTTTGGTTAAGTTTATTCCTAATTATTTTACTTTTTTGATGGTCGTATACATAGACTCATTTTCTTAATTCCATTTTTTGGATTGTTTATTGCTAGTGTATAGAAATAACACTGATTTTTGTTTGTCTTCTATCCTGCAACATTGCTGCATTCCTTCATTAGCCCTAATATTGTGTGTGTGTTTATTTAGGATTTCTTTTATATATACGGTCATGTGACCTGTGAATGGAAATAGATTTACTTCACTTTTTCAATGTGTATGCCTTTAACTTCTTTTTCTTGCCTGCTTTCTCTGGCTTTCCATTACAGTGTTGAATAGAAGCAGCAGAAGCAGATATGGGTGTCTTGTTCCTGGTATAGGGAAGAAAGGTTTCAATCCTTCCTCCTGAGTATGATGTTAGTTGTGGGCCTTTCATAAGTTCATTTTATCATGGGGAGGAAGTTCCCTTCTGTTTCTCATTGTGCAGTGTTTTGTCGTGAAAGGTGAGAGACATTGCGTCACCCAGGAAATGCCAAGGGATTTAGGGACTTCGCATCAGGAATTGGGATCAAAGAACACACATTGGACAGAAGATGCTCCTAGTACTCTTATGAGATTGCAAGGCTTGTAGGAGCTGCCAGGAACCAGGGGCAGATATGTATATAGTAGAGGCCCAGTGCATGAAATTTGTGCACTGGGGGTTGCGGTGGGGGGGGTTCCTCAGCCCAGCCCCCTGTGCCCTCTCACCTCGGACATCCTTAGTGCTGCCGCCGTTGCGCTTGCCAGCTGTGAGCCTGGCTTCTGGCTGAGCGCACTGACCCCCAGGGGGCAGCTCCTGTGTTGAGCGTCTGCCCCCTGGTGGTCAGTGCACATCATAGTGACCCCTGGTTCCACTGTTCGGTCAATTTGCATATTAGCCTTTTATTATGTAGGATAACTGTGGTTATATGTTTTTAATAGAGTGTGTGTGTGTGCGTGTGCACGTGTGTGCACGTGTGTGTGTGTGCGTGTGTGTGTGTTTCTGTCATCCCACAGTGGTGTTTCTTTTTATTTTTTTCTTTCAACTTGTTAGTGTCTGGCCCTCTTCCCCCTCCTGTTCCAACTTTTAGACTAATTTTCAGTTCTGTTTTATCATCAGTAATTATTTTGTATCCAAGTCTTACTCTTTTCTTCCTTTGAAATGTTTGTTAAATGTATACTTAAAAAAAAATACATTCCCCCTGCCAGCATAGGAGAGCAGGCCAATAGCCTCTCGTCCTGGGATTATGTAATAATTTCCTAAACCAGTTCCTTTCTTCTAGACTAATCCATTTTGTAACTATTCTGACACTGACATTTTAGGAAATTATTTTTGCCCTTCACATTCAGCATTATTAAACATTTGCTATATTCATGGAACTGTAGAGGATGAGGAGAATAGATGTGATTTTTTGTTGTTAATCCTCACTCGAGGATATTTTTCCATTGATTTTTAGAGAGAGTGGAAAGGAGAGGAGAGACAGAGAGAGAGAAACATCCATGTGAGAGAGACACACCAAGTGGATGCCTCCTGCATGGGCCCCTACCAGGGCTGGAGCCTGCAACCGAAGTATGTGCCCTTCACTGGAATTGAACCTGGGACCCTTCAGTCCACAGGCCAGTGTGCTATCCACTGAGCCAAACTGGCTAGGGCTAGATGTGACTCTTATCTCAATTCAGATGAGGAGGTAGAATTTAAATATAAATGTGATTTCTTCCTTCAAGTTACTTATTGTTTAGTTGAAGAGACCACAGAAACACTTGAGAAGTCTAATAAATAGTAAAATGTAATATATATTTTCTCTTTTTTCCCCTCCAGGTTCCTGTTGCATGTAAATCTTGTCCCTGTGGTTATATATTTATTAATAGAAAACTCCTAAAAGTAAAACAGTCAGATAAATCATCACCTTTTACAGGTAATTGCAAGTTTACCATCTTTTCAGCTTTTATGGTTTTTGTTATATAGATTAAAAATTAATTTTTGTTAGTTAACTTTTTTTTTTCTGCTGCTGAAGTTATAATATTAGAAGTCTATCGATCCCTGGCTGGTGCAGCTCAACTGAGCATCGTCCCGTGTACTCTGTGGTCCCTGGTTTTACTCCCAGTCAGGGCAGCCAATCAATGTCTCTCTCTCTCCTCCTTCCTCCCCGTTTAAAAATTGTTGACACTATTACATATGGGACAATTCTTTTTTTTTTTATATTCTTTATTGATTTTTAGAGAAAGAGGAAGGGAGACGGAAAGAGAGAGAGGGAAGCATCGATTGGTTGCCTCCTGTACTCTCTCCACTGGGGATGGAGCCTGCAGCCCGGGCATGTGCCCTGACCAGGAATTGAACTGACAGCCTTTCGGGACATGGGACGGTGCACAACCAGCTGAGCCCCACCGGTCTGGGCTGGAACAATTCTTTACAGTAGAATTTCAGTTAATAACTGGAAAGATTGCGGGTAATAGAAAACCAGCACTAGCTAAACAGTAATTATGGTTGCAGTCAAGATCGACCAATGGATGGTAAAGTAGGTGAGTGAAAATTTGAGGAGAAATAAAATTTTTTTTATAAAATCAAAGCATTCCCCCAAGATCTCCATTAACCACAAAAGGAAAGATAAGAACTTTCCAGGGGTGAAAGCTGCCAGAATTTACCTTAATCAGGGACCACGGTGAACAGCACAATAATGAAACACTGACACCACGAAGCCTGTGATATGGACCGAAAGGGCTACGGTTTTGTGCACTCTTTGCCAAAAATGCAGAACCTGAGTCCAATCATTAGAAAACATCAGCTAAAAAATAATAAGAAGAAAAACGAAAGAAAGAAACATCAACCAAATTCAATGAGATACATTTGACAAAAGACAAAAGAACCAACCAGTCGGTATTCTGCAGAAGAGTCACGGTCGTGAAAGATCAGGGAAGAGGAGGCCCTGTGCCCAGGATGGGAGGAGACCAAGGAGCCAGGGCAAGTAACTAATGTGGGGTTCCTGCTTTTACAATGACCTGTTTTTGCCTAATGGAATCTCTGTTTTCTCTCTGAATTTTTAAGGCATGTTTTAGAATGTCTTATTTTTTAAAAATATATTTTTATTGATTTCAGAGAGGAGGGGGAGAGAGAGAAACATCAATGATGCAAGAAAATCATTGACCGGCTACACGCCCCACACTGGGGATGGAGCCCGCAACCCAGGCATGTGCCCTTGACGAGAATCGAACCCGGGATCCTTTAGACTGTAGGCTGATGCTCTGTCCACTGAGCCAAACCGGCTAAGGCAGATGTCTTATTGTAACTTGCCTGAAAATGTGTGTGTTTTAGATTGTTCTATTATTTGTATGCAGTTCTGAGGTATGAATTGTATTCCTGTGTCCCCTCATCACAGTGGCTTTGAGGTTCCCTCCCCCACCCCCCGTTATGCATTTGGGAAAATCTTTTGCTTTTGGATTTAGCTCTGTATTAAAACAAGTTTTGTTTTTGATTGTGTCTTAACCAGCATGATTGTTTGAAGTAGAAGAGGCCGCTTCTTGCATTAATTAAATCTATATCGACAGGAAACCTTTCTTAATTTCTATGCCATTTAGGAACAGGGTAAATGGCTTTCAGCATATTAGGAATTAAAATAAAGCTACTCACTTTCCTAATATCTTGTAGTTGCAAGATGTATTTTTTGTTTTTTGGTATCAGTATATTATGGTTGAGGTCACATTTTTTCTGCTCTGGTAATGGAAGATGATTGACTTATTTGAAATAGGGTAACTTAGAATTTAAGCAAGGGAACTTCACCGTCCTGGAAGCAGAGGGGGAGAAAAAGGCAGGAAAGTTGCTGTGAAGGGATGTGTATGTACAAGGGTCTGGGATTAAAGCTGTTGAAAGAGGAATGGAATTCTGCTGAATCTCTCTTCCTTTTTTTATTTTATTTAAAAAAAAACAAAACCTTTGGTGAGTTTAGGAAAGGAGTGTTATGGCTGTGTTTTAAACATTGCACTGGGCAATGGACTATAGTGCCATTTAAAACACGTTAAAGGCCCGACTGCCGGGGTGGGGTGCAAACTTAGGCAAACGGTTCTTTCACGTCCCTAAAGTGTATTATTTTTACTCGTCTACACCAAAACTAAGTATGAAGCCAACAGCAGTGAATTAGGGAGGCTGAGAGAGGATAAGAGGCCGGGCAGTGGCGGCCATTCAGACCATCTGCACAGGGAAGAGGAGGACCTGAAACGCTGCCGGAGCATAGCAACAGGCATCCATCAGCCCGTCCTGGAGGGTGTGTCCCAAGCACCAGACTGATCTGCGACCCTAATTCCGTGGCACTGAAAAAAACAGAAGGCGTTGAGTTCCTGGATCTCCAAGCACAACTCCTATTTTAGTTCAAAATAATGTTTTCGATGGTAGATGCTTATACAATTACTGGCAGTTGGGTTCCTGTGGGAAAACGAAAAGGCTGAAATGTAACCTCCACCTGATAGAAACTGTGATCCACGCTTCCCCCTGACTGAGAGCGCTGCTCTCCCGGCCGCGGCATCACAGGGAGGGGTCAGGCCTGTTCCCTTGTGTTGTTTCGGGTTCACGGTGATGGCGTGCTCTGCAGTCGTCTCTGATGGCTGAGCTTTTATTGTTTATTTTCTCCACAGAAGTGAGCAATGCCATGTCTCTGAAAGATCTGCGAATACTCTTCTTATACGAGTTTAAACTCGGACACAGCGCCGCCACGGCCAGCAGAAACATCGCCTCCGTCTTCGGAGAAGGCTCCGTGAACGAAAGGACCATCCGCTGGTGGTTTGAGAAGTTCCGTTCTGGGGACCTGAGTCTGAAGAATGAGCCTCGCGGGAGACCCAGGTCGGTCCTAAATGAAGACGAGCTGCGAGCCATGGTGGAGGCGAACCCCAAGAGCGCCGTCCGGGGCCTCGCCGCAGACCTAGGCGTTTCTGCCACAACCATTTCTCGCCACCTGGCTGCCATGGGAAAGGTGAAAAGGTTGGACAGGTGGGTGACAGCCGCTGATGGCTGATCAGGTGTTTGGAGAGACGCTCACCCTTAAGATGTGGAAGAGCAGAGACCTTATGAGAGCGTCCTAAGTGACAGAAATGAAGTGGAAAGGGATCTGGGCAATGGCTGGATGTTGATGAAGTTCCCCAACGTGTTAAAACCTTCCTTCTACCAAAAGAGAGAGGATCTGGTAACTGGGTGTGTGTGTGTGTGTGTGTGTGTGTGTGTGTGTGTGTGTGCGCGTGTGTGCGCACAGGGTGTTTCAGCACCATGTTCGCCCGGACTGCTTTCCCTGCGTGAACGAGCCGCATTGCCCAGCAGTGGGCTCACGGACCCAGTCGCGCCGCAGCGTTCTGCGCTGGTCCGCAGGCGTGGACCTGTCCTGCCGGGACAGCAGCGGACTGCAGACATCACAGACCGCCTTGGGGAGGCAACTGAATCGGGCAAAGGAATTTAGCGCGTCCATCAGACTCACCTGGCCTTTTAACACAGATTCCCCCTCCTTTGTCATTTGTAACTAAGACACAGAACATTCTCTGCTTGAGAAGCAGGAATTGAAGGAAGTGAACGTCTTGTAACAAGACTGGATTTTATAAATGTAGTATGTCATTTAATATTGGGGGAAGTTTATCACTTGGAGAAAGCAGCTCATACTATTAGTGTATATTTTGGTTGAATGAAGCTGTTGTTTTTCTCAAAAAATATAACATTGTCATTTTGACCTACAAAAAGGCAATTGCATATGGTTCACCCTGATCATTTCCTAATCCCGGCAGAGCCCGGAGCCGGAAAGGCACTCAGGAGCCAAAGCTACTGCTGCTCCCGAGGACTGCGGCTTCTTCCCGGGAGGGGTGTGGCGCAACCCAGGGAGCGCAGGCGTGTGTGTGTGTGTGTGTGTGTGTGTGTGAAAGATGCTTAGGAGTCAGCCGAGCAGAAACCCAGGTGCCGAGTGCGTCAGCCTCCTTCCCCTCCTTTGACCTCAGCTGCTTTGCTCCTGGTGTGCTTTCTGTCTGAATGTTTGCTGTTCCTCTTCACCTTAGTAACTCTACCCATCATGCACTTTTCCTCCAGGAAGTCTTCCCTGGTTGCCCTGCCCCCACCCCAGGTCAGGTCCCCTTGACGATGGCCTAAGAATCCCAGTATTGTTCCTGCATAATGTGATCATGGTCAGAATATATTTATTTGTGAGATAATGTGTGTCTGTCTGTCTTTTCTGCAAGATTATAAGGTTCACAACAGCAGGGACTGTTTTTGCTTATATGATCATACCCGTCAAGGGCACAGGTCTAGTACAAGCATGTCAGACTCGCGGCCTGCGGGCTACATGCAGCCCACAATGAATATTTTTGCGGCCCAGCCAATATAACGGTCTGTAAGAAACGCTTTAATAAAAATTTTGTAAGTTAATTTTTACAATATCCTGTTATACATAATTAATAACGAGCTACAACTTTTGATAATGACTGATTACTGTCATTGTGTTGCATTCATTTCCCTTACCATTCCCGTGCCATTTCTCTCCACTAATACTAGCAGCGAATTTTTTTTTTAAATTTTACTGATTTTTTACAGAGAGGAAGGGAGAGGGATAGAGAGTTAGAATCAGCTGCCTCCTGCACACCTCCTACTGGGGATGTGCCTGTAACCCAGGTACATGCCCTTGACCGGAATCGAACCTGGGACCTTTTAGTCTGCAGGCCGACACTCTATCCACTGAGCCAAACCGGTTAGGGCAGCAGCAAATTTTTTAGCAGCTGATTGCCATGTCATTAGTCTTGGACTGACTTGTTTGGTGTGCGCAACGGGAAATATTTCACTTTTGAAGAACAAGAAAAATAGGTTTATTTGCATTATGCTTATTAATTTGTGCAGTTATTCATTGTCTGGTAAGTTAATGTTCAAGAAAAATATTAATTTTTATTAAAATGTTCTATTAACGATGACTCATTTATTTCAGCCCTTTGTATTCAACATGTCTCTATTGAAATAAACCTATTTTTCTATGAAAATTGAAGCTTTTGTTCTTTTGCAGCCCACATAAACTTAAACCTTGTTTATTTGGCCTGTGTTAGCCTTTGAATTTGACATACTTGGTCTAGTACGTAGTAGACACCATTAATGTTTGTTCAACGAATAAATAAATGCAAGGGCCAGTTTCATCCACTTTGTAGAAAATTGACAGCAAGTAATTAAAAAACAAATGAACAGTTGTTTAAGTAAGTAGGTTTTGTTTTCTCTAACTGATGAAAATGTTCAAACATATAAAATACTTGAATTTTACAGTGATCCTACGTAGCCTTTTTATGAATAAAGCTGTTATGAATATTCTTGCAGAGTCTTTTGGTGGACATATATTTACATTTCTCTTGGATAAACACCTATAATTGGAGAACCTGAGTCATAGGCTATGTGTATATTTCATTTTCCCAAAATGATTACACCGTTTTATACTCCCTCTCACTAATATTTGATGTTATTAGTCTTTAAAAAAATTTTTTTTTCAATTCTCACCTCAGGATACTTATTTCCATTGATTTTTTAAAGAGAGAGTGTAAGGGAGGGGAAGAGAGAGAGAGAAACATCATGTGAGAGAGACATCCTGGGTGTGGGCTGTGTCTTATTTTGAGCTGTTTTCCCAGAGGGATGCAGGCCATAATCAGGCCATAATCGGGGTAGCTATGCAACAATGCTGTGGGGGCCCAGGCACCTTCTAGCTTCCTGCTCATCCTTACTGGGCTGAGGATAATCCCGTGCACGCCTCCTCGGGAGGCGGCCTCCAGATGCTCTTAGAGACCCCTACATCTTGCCATTCTTGTCCTCACGTATTACCCTGTCACCAGCGTGGGCTGGACTTAGTGACTCGCTTCTGCTAGAATTCAGCAGAAGTGATGGGCTGCCATTTTGGAGATTCAGTTATAAAAAGCACGTGGCTTCTGCCACGCGTGTTCTTCCTGGCTCCAGCTGAGCTCACTCACTCAGGGCGCGAGCCAGCTGCCATGCTGTGAGGCAGCTCAGTGAAGAGCCTTTGATGAGGCAGGGGTGGGGGGTGGGGGGGAGGGGGGGTGGGGGACGGGGGTCAACAATCCAGTGAGTGAGCTTGGGCGTGGACCTCCCCCGAGTTGAGCATTCAGATGAGGCTGCACAACCACACCTGGGTTTCTGACCCACAGACATTGAGAGAATATTTTAAAAATACATATTGTTACTGATTTCAGAGCGGAAGGGAGAGGGAGGGAGAGAGAAACTTCAATGACGAGAGAGAACCCCGAGTCCTTTTTAAGCCCCGCTCCTCCCCAGGGTGAGAAGACCCTGCATAGCTGAACATGGCCCACCTCTCCTGGACTCCGCCCTGCACGGGGCGTACGTACCCTCAACACGAGAGTCCCCTTGCTTACACCCCCCCCCCCCGGGGGCCTTCACCTTTCACAGGTGTGCACCTCGATCGGCCGCTCCACCTCGCACCCTTAGGGACTCGCTCTGGAGACAACGCTTCAGAAAGCCCGCGAGGACCACCAACTCCCTCAACAGCGGGTCGGGGCCTCCTCAGTAGCTGTGTGCACATCCTTGTCCCTTTTCTTGGGGCGGGGGTTGGAAAGCCTACATTTTTAGCTTGATCTAGTAGAAAGTTAAAATAATACAGTAGGACGTGGAATGAAAAACGAGTCTCCCTCCTGCCCTGCCGTGCTCTGTACCGTCTTTTTCCAGTGCACCGTTCCGGGGGTCATTCTATCACTTCATGCAGCTCGAGCGCATCCTTCCGAGGAGCTGCGCTGGCACTGTTTCATGCACGCCTGAATCAGCCCGGCCATGTGGCGGTGCGCCCTGGGCTGTTTCTGGTTTTGCTCTGACGAGCGGTGCTGTCAAGCGCAACATCTTTGCGCAAGTGGGTTTGGGTGGGGAATGTCTTTCCTTCAGATTCTTAGGGATGGGATTGCTAGATCAGAGGCTCAGTGGCTTTCGGCCGCTTTACTCTTCCCACCGACCACCCGCTTCTCTGGAGTCGAGTGTTAGGTCGGCTGCACTGGACGGGGTGACCGTGAGGGCAGCGCTTCCCAGGATTCCCATTTGTGCGGCGGGTTGGCCCTCAATAAATACTTGACGACGAATATTGTATCTTGCGGCGCCGACTCCACGGCCTGGCATACAGTAGACTCATCAGATGTCTCCAGCTCCTCCATGATTAGACTTACTAGGAGTTACTGAAGTTAATGCCATAACCGGTGGCGACTGACCTCCCACCCGCTCCTCACACTCCCTCTCTCCCTCCTTCCGGGGCGAGGCGTGGCCAGCACCTATTGGTATTCTGTGCACTCATTGGTCGAGCCAGATGCCCGTCATTGTCAGATCCCGTCCGAGCCACGCCCCCACGCTGTTCGCCTAACCGAGAGAAGGCGTGGCCATAGTCTCGCGGGAGGGTCCGCCCGCCTACCTCTGGCGAGAAGCCCGACGCGCTTGAGGGCCGGCGTGAGTGGGTAGAAGCGAGGTCCCAAGTCCCACGGAGTTAGCGCACGCCACGTCGCGCCACGCCCCCTTGCAGCCGCGCCCCCTCGTACGCAGGCTCCGCCCCCTTGTGCGCCACGCCCCCTCGCACGCAGGCTCCGCCCAACCTCGCGCAGGCGCGCGCGCACCGGGCAGCGCCTCAGTCTGGGCAGCGGGACCCGGCGGGCGGAGGCTGGGCCTGTGAGGTGCGAGGGGAGGAGCCCGAGCCGTCGCCGCCGCCGCCGCCGCCGGAGGGGAGCATGTCCGCGAGTCGAGCCAAGAAAGTGAAGATGGCCACCAAATCGTGCCCCGAGTGCGACCAACAGGTGGGCGGCGGGCCGGCGGGCGGGCGGCCGTTGCCGGCGGCGGTTGGCTGTGGAGAGGCCCCGTCGCCGGGTCCCGGCGGCCGAGCGGTGGGCCGGCCCTTGGGCTCGGCGGCCACGGGGCACCCGGACCGCAGGCTGAGCCAGGGGTGGCTGGGCCAGCGGCCACCTGGTGGCGGCCAGATGGCCCTATAGAGGGTGGCACGGAAGGGGGCGTGGGCTGGTGCCTGCTGTCTCAGTGGCTCCAGTGACAGTGGCGGGTCTGCGCCCTGGAGCCCCTCGTGCCTGGACGGGAAGGCGCGGGTGCCCCCTGGAGCCGGCTCCTGGTGCTGGGGGCCCCCGTCCTGCCCAAGGGGCGGCTTTGCTCCCGTCCCACGGTAGCGGGGACCCCTCTGTCTGCGCCCCGCCCTGAGCTGACGACAAAAGGGGCCGCAGTGTCACGGTTTTCTATTTCGGCGAGTTTGGAGATCTTTTTTTTATTATTATTTTTCTTGTAAATACACTTCCTAGGTTTGTGACGTGAATTCTTTCTTTACGTTGTTTTACGTGATTGACTAACGCCCCCGGGAAGCCCTTCCCTTCGGGCGCCCACGACCCCCACCCGCCACGGCATCCTCTGCTGGAAACTGGGCGTTTCTGCTTCCAGATCTTAAAGTAAAAATGAAATATATATATGTAGTTCCGTGCATTTTAAATGGCTGCTTTCTGCACACAGCTCCCGGTGTCGGGCTGTAATTTTAAATCCCCATTTATTGTGGTGTCGTGTAAGCGAGCCTCCTCCTTCACCAGGAACACAGCCTCCCCCCCCCCCCGCCCCCCAATTAAACTCTCCATTAAAACCAGTCGTGGGGCTCGTTTCGTGCCAGCGTGCGGATCGGGGTGTGTTTTTTTTTCTTTTCCACCGAGAGGATTTTTTCAAAATGACTCCCTTTCTCCTCCCACTCCTTTTTTATTTTTATCTATTTTTTTTTTTTTTTTTTTTTTTTGATCAGGAGTGATTTGAAATGGCCGGACACTTTGAATAAGCCGACCTTTAGTGCACTCGTTCAGGAGCAGTCTTGCAGGGTGATCAGGAAACGTTTACCCGTTTTATTCAGTATTTTTACGGGCAGTGGTAAGAGAGTCTGAGCCTACCGTTTATTGATCGGAGGAGTTGGAGAATGCGTTATAAAAATAATTTATGTAGTCACGGCTTCCAAAGGGAGGAGTTCGACTTCCACTCTTACCCAGAAGCCGAATTTGTTAAGTTCGGACAAAATTCGGGCTTTGCAGGGGTTTATTTCCGTCTCTCCATCCTTTCCGTCCGTCCCAGCGACTAGTGCAGAGCGTAAGGTTTGCGTGGTATGTATGATGCATTCCGGTTTCTGTCGGCTGCAAGTTATTGCAGA